TGGATACATGGATATTGTCTTTACAGTATATGTGTGGATACATGGATATTGTCTTTACAGTATATGTGTGGATACATGGATATTGTCTTTACAGTATATGTGTGGATACATGAATATTGTCTTTACAGTATATGTGTGGATACATATATGTTGTCTTTACAGTATATGTGTGGATACATGGATATTGTCTTTACAGTATATGTGTGGATACATGGATATTGTCTTTACAGTATATGTGTGGATACATGGATATTGTCTTTACAGTATATGTGTGGATACATGGATATTGTCTTTACAGTATATGTGTGGATACATGGATATTGTCTTTACAGTATATGTGTGGATACATGGATATTGTCTTTACAGTATATGTGTGGATACATGGATATTGTCTTTACAGTATATGTGTGGATACATGGATATTGTCTTTACAGTATATGTGTGGATACATGGTTATTGTCTTTACAGTAGATGTGTGGATACATGGATATTGTCTTTACAGTAGATGTGTGGATACATGGATATTGTCTTTACAGTAGATGTGTGGATACATGGATATTGTCTTTACAGTATATGTGTGGATACATGGATATTGTCTTTACAGTATATGTGTGGATACATGGATATTGTCTTTACAGTATATGTGTGGATACATGGATATTGTCTTTAGAGTATATGTGTGGATACATGGATATTGTCTTTACAGTATATGTGTGGATACATGGATATTGTCTTTACAGTATATGTGTGGATACATGGATATTGTCTTTACAGTATATGTGTGGATACATGGATATTGTCTTTACAGTATATGTGTGGATACATGGATATTGTCTTTACAGTATATGTGTGGATACATGGATATTGTCTTTACAGTATATGTGTGGATACATGGATATTGTCTTTACAGTATATGTGTGGATACATGGATATTGTCTTTACAGTATATGTGTGGATACATGGATATTGTCTTTACAGTATATGTGTGGATACATGGATATTGTCTTTACAGTATATGTGTGGATACATGGATATTGTCTTTACAGTATATGTGTGGATACATGGATATTGTCTTTACAGTATATGTGTGGATACATGGATATTGTCTTTACAGTATATGTGTGGATACATGGATATTGTCTTTACAGTATATGTGTGGATACATGGATATTGTCTTTACAGTATATGTGTGGATACATGGATATTGTCTTTACAGTATATGTGTGGATACATGGATATTGTCTTTACAGTATATGTGTGGATACATGGATATTGTCTTTACAGTATATGTGTGGATACATGGATATTGTCTTTACAGTATATGTGTGGATACATGGATATTGTCTTTACAGTATATGTGTGGATACATGGATATTGTCTTTACAGTATATGTGTGGATACATGGATATTGTCTTTACAGTATATGTGTGGATACATGGATATTGTCTTTACAGTATATGTGTGGATACATGGATATTGTCTTTACAGTATATGTGTGGATACATGGATATTGTCTTTACAGTATATGTGTGGATACATGGATATTGTCTTTACAGTATATGTGTGGATACATGGATATTGTCTTTACAGTATATGTGTGGATACATGGATATTGTCTTTACAGTATATGTGTGGATACATGGATATTGTCTTTAGAGTATATGTGTGGATACATGGATATTGTCTTTACAGTATATGTGTGGATACATGGATATTGTCTTTACAGTATATGTATGGATACATGAATATTGTCTTTACAGTATATGTGTGGATACATATATGTTGTCTTTACAGTATATGTGTGGATACATGGATATTGTCTTTACAGTATATGTGTGGATACATGGATATTGTCTTTACAGTATATGTGTGGATACATGGATATTGTCTTTACAGTATATGTGTGGATACATGGATATTGTCTTTACAGTATATGTGTGGATACATGGATATTGTCTTTACAGTATATGTGTGGATACATGGATATTGTCTTTACAGTATATGTGTGGATACATGGATATTGTCTTTACAGTATATGTGTGGATACATGGATATTGTCTTTACAGTAGATGTGTGGATACATGAATATTGTAATTTTGGCAGCTTCAGAGTTTGGATTCGGTCCTTCTGCCGTAAGTGATTTAATGTAAACAGCACACTGAGTGATCCTTTATAAATGTACTATGAAATATCATTATTTTATAATGGTATTTGACCTTTGTTACCTCTTTAGAAATAGTATTTAATAATTTATTGATTATTTCCCATTTTTCTTCCTGTGATCTTCTGTGTCAAAGAACTTCTGAAATATTGATGTTTTAGACGTTTTCACACGCACTTTAAGAACAAAGAATATAAATGCTTTATTCACGGTGATAAACATCGCTATTTTTATATTTGCGAAAGAATTTTACATATTTCACATATCTAACAATATTTAGATTAATATAAGCACGTGCGTAGAGGTATTTTTTGTATGTTTATCATTAACAATGAGTAAGACGTTATATGATATATGACCAGACATACATTCTACATTCTTTATGCTAAAACTACCTGTAATTATTTACGCTACAGGTGTGAAGTGGTCATTAAGAAAATTACCCATTGGTATTACAACCATGGGTAGGTGTGTGCTAGCCGATAGTATATGGTAAAAATCATTTTCATTTATCGAAGATATTATATAACACCACTCCGTGATTGGCATGGTAAAGTACTACTGGTATATACATTGGTTTATCTAGGAAGTAATTAAAGGCTGGCAGTTGAAATATATATCAAAATAGCAATGAAACAGAATCTACATTTTGGTGGTAAACATCAATAAATGAAATCTCATAACATAACATCAGAGTATACTCGTATTGGACGTTATTTCGATTTTGCTATTTATAGAACATATCAGGTTCTACGGTCAGATAAAGAGTATTTACCAATGGGATAATTACGACAATCATAAAACTTCCCCGCAATTTTCATCCACCTGCATCTCTCGAAACCCTGCTTTGTGAGTTTGTGTGTCAGATGTCGACATCGTGCACGAAATTCGTCATATAGGAAACAGGTCATTGGATATCGAATGAAATGCGATATATAAGTATCATAGGTTGTTATCTAGATGGAAAATTTACAAAATAGAATTTACAAAATCATGCTTATAATACATTTAGGTGGGAAGCTGTCCCTATTGGTTCTTTGTAGAAACTGTTCTTTAAGAGTCAAAGTTTGTCGTTGACAAGGCGTCTGTGTTCTGTGTTCTTCATAGCTATTCTATGTCTGAGTAAACACGTACAGGTTTCTATACACAGGAAGAAGTGATCCCATTGTCTGGTAATAATAGATTATGAAATAGATATTAATAACTTATTGTCTATATGATCTGTCGTACATTAAAGGTATTTACGTAGTAACCTTTACTGTCTGAAATATATAAAGTTGTTGAATATCTAAGGCAATTCGTAAATTCTATTTATTGCAATCAAATTCATTCTTCGTCGGAATCGGGAAGGTTACGTCATAGCAACAGTAAGTTTTATTTTCAAATTCCATCGGTAGATTATTTTTTCTCTTTGATTTATCTTCATCACCTTTACATCGTTTAAGCAGCCGAGACCAACACCTTTTATCCAGTATCATGATAAACTATGTTAATCCCTGTACACTATGCTACAATATAGTGTTAGCGTGGACAGCGTCTCTACAGACAGATCTAAAACCATTCATGTTGATTGAGATTAGAGAGGATAAACCGGGAAGTGAACACGCTATAATAGAAAATAATGGTAGTGTAAGATCGTTATCATGCCTGACCTACGCAAGAGTACAAAAAGTACACGAAATAGACTAATCTCTGATACGCTTTAGGGCCCACATTCATTATAATCACACTATGGTTGGTTCAATTGAATCAAAACAAATACTCCCCTTTTCACACGATAAACTTTACAAAACTACAAGACAAAGTTTTGAATGAATGATGTTTCGTCTTTTGCAATTTTAATTTAAATATTGTAAACAACGCACATATATAAGGAAAAAGATTCACAGCTGTATCCAGTTATCGAAAATATATTCAATTGTAAAAATACTTCAGATAATTTTTTAAGATTTTATCATGGACAGCACTGGTAAATTATGCATGAACGATATGATAACAATGTAATTTACATAAATTGGCTGCTTGATCATCAAACCGAAGAGTAAAGGCTTGTGTAATCTATATGTCTTCATAATAATGATAATTTACCGGTCTACCCACCCAATCGAGGTAGTAGCACGCAGGACGCTTGTATGGCAATGCCCATTGTTGTCGGTAGGTAGGATATATTTAGTATACATGTACCCGCCTTTAAGGCTTGTCTTGTATAAGCACTTGTACATTACATATGTTAACACTGAAGATTGATGTGTGTATCATAACATCACAATGACAGGTGCATTCGCCTTGGATTGAAAACAACCCGACATGAATGAGGACATTCCAATAGTAATAGTGTGCCCACATTAAGTATAATGTACAATACGCGCACACTATGTACTAGTATTGGATTAAGCACTTATAGAAGACACGCTTAGTGGTACTGTTGTCACCAGACAGCGGGAGGAACGCCTTACAGAGGGTAATTACAATCTACCGGCACGTGAAGGTGTGGATTCCAAGATTATCACAATTTGTGAATATTCTGCGTAATAAAGGATGAGAGAAAACACACCTACAACCAAACTGGAACAGATGCTGGGAAATATTTTTACATCTTGAGAAGTGAAGTGAAGAGAGTATAGAAAAACATATCACTCTGTACTTTACAAAAGAAAATGTAAGCTGTGAATGGATACAGTACGTGTTTATATCTAACTGTTGCGGAACATTTTGATACACTAGAAAGCAGTTATGAGTGTTACATCGATAAGAGTGCTTCTCCCGATTCAGATGATCTAGAACAGCTGGAAAAAACAACATTTAGGCATTGAGTAAGGAGGAAAAATCGATCACAAAAATGGGATTTAAAGAGAGATTGAAATCCGAATTTTCGGTCTCTAATTTGATGATGACACACCCTGAACCACACCTCTTTGTGACAATGCAGGTAGGTATATTATCAAAGGATTTATTATCATTTTACGTAGTTATTTTTAAGTATAACCACAGGTATTCAAAAGAACGACTGTTAGATCACTTCAACTTCAATACCTATATATTTTACTTTTCAACTGAAGTAATTACGTAAGTATAACCATAGGTATTCAATAGAACGACTCTTAGATCACTTCAACTCCAATACCTATTGAAATATTCTCGTGTTTCTTTTGAGGTCTTTGTAAGCAATTCCTAATATGGTACCTTTATGTGTATATTTCAATATATGTTTGACAAGTGACATAACGTTTAAGGTTGTACATGAAGTAAATCATCGAAATAGAGACTGTGTAAAACATGAAATAAAAATTTCAGGTTGTACATGAGGTAAATCACCGAAAAGAATGCGTGAAACATGAAATCACATTTAGTAGCAGTATCAATAAATTAAAAGACGTTTGATATTATGCATTGTTGATCTACAAAGGCAGTTGGTCTTATTATAAAACTACAAAATATTAATTAAAAACCATGATAAAGCGTTTAAGCATTTTATACAAGTCATTGTTTTGTATTAAAATGCAGCTAATATCATATATACACCCGCTACCCGTGCCAAGTACAAATTTGATATTGCGCGCTTTATCCGTAGGTGTCAAGGAGTGCAGTAGACACGTATTAAGTATTCTATAACTATATTGAAAGGTGCCTTTTTCATCTGTTATACAATCTTCTTTAATGAAAAGGGAAAAATGGTATAGAATAAGATAAAAGTTCTTAAACTTTTCAAAAATTAATTGTTAAATTTAAATGTTAATTTGTTCGGTTATTTTTGACCATCATTTTAACTTAAACGTTATACGAATTACACTAAAATGTTATCCTATTAGTTAGAATCTTTCCCTGTTTTCATTGAAATTTAACTACAGTGCACATCTACACGCTATTTCTCAGTGAAACCAGAGATACTGTAGTGAAGTGAATATATATTTCCTTCTTGCAAACGAAAAAAACATTGATGAAAGAGAATCAATCATCACAGCCAAAAGAAGATAAAATAAAATCTTATGAAGCCAATTCAACAATGGTCAGCCTGATCATCAAAGAATCGAAAACTTCTGAAAATATTTTTTTTTATTTCTTGTTGAAGTTCTTTAAGGATAAACAGATAAATTGAATTGAAACATTGTCACACTATGGCCGTGTCTAAACATCGACTGAACTCATCAGATACCGAAACAATACACGTTCGTGAGGGGTTGACGAGCTGATGAGATGTGCATCTCACCGTGCATATTACAGTACAATGTAATTACAAAGCTAGATGTTTTGGCTTTGTTTGGTAACCTATTATGGTACGTCACGATACTTCTGAAATATTGATGCCTGACCCTGATATATATATATCTGTAGGCAAAATTTACAAACAATGTATATCATAACCTACTTGTATGAGGTATGTAAAACAGTATGACTACTGTCATATGTATATGAAAATCTACGTATATGTATATATACTGCTACATGTATATTACCCGCAGTTCTATTTCCGTTCTTTAACGGGGTTTATCAAAGTAATTGTTTTTAATTGTCACTATAATGAATGAATAAGTAAAATAAGTAGATAAAAATCGAGTAACATAAAGCTACGTATGATATTGATATTTTTGTAAAACATTTCCTTCAAAGAGAATATGCCATGCTTTACTTCAGTCGAATATCGACACTGTTCAGAATATACACATATACTCGAGTCTGTACTAACATTATCTGACATATCAAAGTTACGGAATTTATTTAATTATGGGGCTGTTGCACCTCCCTGTCTAGGTGTTGACTTTTCTTTCCATCATTTTAGATTTTCCTCAGTCGCCTCTGAGACTTCAATTCAATGTCATTGAACGACGCAACAACTGCATGATGCAGTTTTCTTCATTGTTTGACTATATTCTATCTAACACTAAATTATTAAAAGGTGTTGTTCACTTGAGCGTCTTTTCTACAATCTGTATACCATGCTAGTGCCATCATGCCAAGTTTTTTCTCTGATAAGACAGGAACAGTAAATCGTAATTCACCGGAAGTGTTTGATTGTTTATTCTGATTATTGTGAGATCAAACTAGTCGAACTGAGTAAAACGTTCATTGTACGGAGAAGTGTATATACTAAAGCAGACTTATAAGCGAATATTATCAGATATTTTTTGTACATTATCTACTTAGGAAGTAAGAGAAGCATTATATTTCTACGTGAAAACGTTCATTGTACGGAGAAGTGTATATACTAAAGCAGACTTATAAACGAATATTATCAGAGCTTTTTTGTATATTATCTACTTAAGAAGTAGGAGACGTAGGAGTTCTATTTCTACGTAAAAACGTTCATTTTACCGAGTGGATATTGATTTTCTGCTTTTTGATAGAATCGGTAAAAGTCTATTGAAAATAACATTAACCGAGATGACGGGGCTCCTGTCCACGACTTGCATTTAATATACGTCATTGTTGCTAATAGTTGTTTTGTGAAACCACAAACATTTCAGGTAAACAAATTAATTTGTTTTTACCTTATTTTCTTATCTTTACAAAATTGTTGTTATAGACCAAGGATAGGTAACTAAACGTCTTCATTTCTCTTGTTATATTCATATTTTATTATGAGGCGATTTAGTTTAGACGTTTCTCTTTTCTTTATCATAAATCCTGACTTTTTTTACACAACAATGACCAACTGAAATAATTTGATCTCTATCCATCAATTTTACGTTTGGCATCATTGCTTGATTTAAGGTATGGACTTTCATCAAGTGTACTGATTATCTGTCTGTTTCTTGTTTGGGTTAAGCTGTCCAGACTAACACGCCTTTCGGGTTCTAATAGAAACTGATAGATGATAGATGACTGTTTTCTGATAACGATGACACTCTTCTTATCATTTGACTACTTATTTCAGTTGGAAAGGATTTTTATTGCTTTTCATTCCTTCTCGACTCGGTTCTTTTTCTCTGATTCTCGCGTTTTTCTTACACGCTTACACATATATAAAGCAATAAAATTTAAAATGATGTTAAAAACTTGATAAGATTATGCTACTGAACGGATTATGACGTAACCAAAAAACATCAACAAAATATCAATATGTCAATCATAATCTAAACTCAAATTAGATAAAACTAGAGCAAACTATGAACAAAAGAGAAAGATTTACATTGAAACTTCTGAAAATATACAAAAAGAATAAGACCCAAGTGTTCCGGAAGAGTAAGCGTCTCCTACTTTATCGACATTGCAAGTAATGTCACGTTCTCAAATTGGAACAAGGTATACAACAACGGAATCAACAGGCAAACTAACGAGCATCAATCACGTTCCCCTTACATCGCGAAAAAAAAGAATATTTCTCAATGATACCACTTACTATAAACTGTGTCAAATATGTTAAGAAAATTAATTTGCCTACTCCATTGATCATTTTAAAGAACTGGTTTTAAATGCCGTTTTCTATCAATCCCTCATTATGAATATAGAACTAGATACAGGATAATGGACTTAACCATATTATATAGCTGTCTTATCTCTAAGGCTGTTAGTGATACTAAGGGCTTGGATTTTGAAACATTTGGAAGCGACAAAGGAAAATCAAAACTGATCACATGAAATGTCAAAATATAGATGGCGGGGTTACCAGTCACTTAATTAGATAAATTTCAAATTTTTCATATACCTGCTGATTTCAAAATAGCATCAAGTACTTGTGTACCTCAGCTGTTCTGTTTTTATATAACTCAAACGTTTCGTCTATAAAGTTAGCAGTCACTGTGATTTTCCCAAAGTCAGTGAGAGCGAGGTGTTCATTATTTATGATCCGTAGCGCTGTTATTTCACAGTATATAAAATGACAATTAAAATATTCGACAAAGATTTTTTACCCAGATAATATACAAGATTGAATGTTAGTTTACTCACTTGTTAGCTTTTTTTTATCAGAAAAAGTCGATGTAATATTTAAAGATCTACCATTGGGAATGCTGGATTGCCGTTTGTCGAGCATAATAATCAACTTATTCTATCAGACAAGATATAAACATTAAAAAAAACCACACAAACAAACAATAGCAAATTCTTTCTTCTGAGTTATGTATTTTTTATGAAGCTATACCGTGACTCATTACCTTATTGGTAGTCCTGAGAAGAACATGAACATATAATGAAAACGCGGTGATACAACTAAGTATATATCGGGTGTACTAGACGGGTAGTTACAATGTAATTTTGTAACAAGGAATGTCGTAGACTTGCCCTCTCCCACAGTCTGCATTACCAAATCACGTAACACAATAGCAGATATAAACCTCTCTGTAACAACCGGTTTGTTTATACCCAACATTTAAATCGTTTCGATTAGATTTGTTCTCAAGATATGTAAGATTCCCGATGCAATTGATCTATCTATTGTTGTAAGTTTTAAAAACGGGTTCACAAGCTAGTAACACAGTTGTTTCACTGATTTCATAATCAATATTCATATATCAAATGTGTATTACAAAGTTCCATTTTCAAACTCGCTCTGATAACACTCAACTGCATTCTTAGGACCTCGTAAGAGATTTTCAAATGTCTGTCAGAATGTGCACTCCTGCATACACATATACATATGCATCTGCAATCGAGTAGACAAAATAGTGTAATATCTTTTTTACAAATATTTCAAGTTAGTTAAAGCCGATGTTTTCAATGCAAGTGACTTCATGATTTCTTACTCATCTCGATCTTACGAACATAATAATTTTCACATTAAGGACATAAATGATCGCTCAACAATACGATAAAGTTATATCTTGTCACATCATATAGCCAAGGGGATAGCTTGTACTTACCGTCATACATTAATTAATGCTGAACACGTGCTGAACAAAGTGAGCAATTAGTGTCTTAATCATTGAACTGCCTCTCAGCCATATATCACATCTAATACACAATACTAGAATATGTAATGTTTGTCTGGGTGTAGATATCAAAGAACTTATATTTACATTCTCCATCCTTTACATTTTGTATTCTAACTTCTATTTATGACCTAAAGTCAAGGCTGCAATGATATTTTTTAAAATGCATGTAAATTTCCTTCCATCATTTCATAACATTTCATTATTATGACATCCTATCAGTCTGCATAATATTAACACAGATATTTCATTTTTTAGTGTGGACCAGTACACCTGTACCCGATTTGGTCACTACTCTGGTCAGTCTATCACCTGGCCTGGATTATAATGGACGTGTACATCGCTGCTACGGACGAACATGACGAAGGTCGATACTTCAAATATTTGACCAACTGGGGCTATTTGTTCCTTGTCAGTTATCAGTGGACAGATACTGTGGCCTCCTTATACATCCATCTCCGACGTAAGGATCTCATCAAAGGTCAGTAGACACCTTTGTAACCTCGGGATTAGTGGCAGAGCTCCAATCCAGCTTAACTGGGCCTTTCATTTTTTTCGGACTCGGTATTTAGTGGATTTTCACGGTTCGGCCTGCTATCTCTTACCACACAAGCTTAGTCATATCAGACGAAATACAAAGTAAAAATAATGGTAAAATATCAGAATAAAATGACCTATTAGAATTAACCTAATTTTCATGATTCTCGTGAAGGAGCTTGAAAATTGATTAACTAATTAAGGATAAACTCTAAAATTATTGAGCTACACAAATATGAACTCCTGATCTTATTCTACTTGAAATTTTCATGATTCTTATTGAATTTGAGATCGGGTTATGACTATGTAGACATGTTGGTATTTTTGTAATTGATTTTGATAACAAATAATAAGAAATAAGTCCATTATCATTAGGGCATGTGATCGATTTTACTTAGTACTGATAATCAGAACAACGTTAACTATTTGTTAAGTTTAACATCTCTAACATCGTAACGGGATAACGTACCTTCGGTGGGATACAACAGATACTCTGTAGAATAAAAGGAAAATGAAATTGACATTTGAGAGAGAGGGTATTGACTCGAATTAAGTTTGAATGGATACTGTATAAGATAGATTGTATTTTATTATGAATAAAAGACAGATATGGATGTTGCACAATAACAATAACAAATGGAAATTTACAAAAGTGTTCTTGTGAGGCTAGAGAACAAAACCTACCATTGCAAATATCAGAGACAAACACAGCATCGTGACGCCAAATGGTGATCCGAGTAAGTGCAATGTTAGCGTAAAACATACCCTGGTAAATAATATATGCAAATACTCCTGTTTACGGTCGACAGTTGACAATAATTTTACAGTTCCAGCGTGTTTATAATCTGTAGCGCTATATTTCCACATCAATATTTAATATCATGATAATTTTCCCTTGGGAGCTAAGCTATATGTCTAGGTTGATCTGGTGCATTGTATAGGTAAGTAGGCAAATATAAGTGAAGGTCTTTTTAATATGAAACTTGCATGTATCTGTTGTAGAATTATTCACTAGAAACTTACTGTATAGAAATAGGTTATGTTATTTGTGAGTATAGAGACGAAAGTAAGAATACTTTACCTGCACTACAGTGAAGACTCTTTGTCATGTGTAATATATGGAATGTCATGAAATGCATTCCTCTCCATGTCGCCAGACAGATGAGCCATTGACAGTTTTTTTTGTAAATGTACAAAGGTGATTCCTTTAACATATTTGAAGAAATTGTATCCATGGACATTCTGGAATGACAATAAAGATAATATATCATAAATGAATAAATAGATAATATAGTGATGAGTAACTTACAGGAAAAATGCACCTACAAAATATAAAAATACAGGTACATCGAAAACCTTATCTAATACATAGGATAATACCGTGACTACGATGTTGTAAGGAACATTTGATATTGTTTGATGTAAATGTGACGTTTGGCTAGAATATTTACTTATCTGAGCTTTGCATTGAAAGGTGATATTCATGTTTTATTTATTTTTAAATTCCTGTGATTATGAAGTATGTTGTTTTACTGAAAATGAAGTAAGTGTGTTTCTTTATTTGAAATATTGTCGGAGAGATCTTAAAGTGACATATAAGGCCGCGCATTAGTTGGATTGTTTAGTATGAGAATATATATATACATGCAGTTCATGTTGAACTGGTGTTTGTTACATGGAATGAGTCGTACCATATCTATTATTGATTATAAATTACTGTTCATTCTTTGATAAAACTACCATATTTCGTCAACTGGATTTAAAGGTAGCAAGCATCTTCAAGTCACACTATGTTTTTTGTTTCATTATCGATCTATGGTGAACTCATTGTGATGTTTAAGTAGTGGAAAGAGTACACACGACACACAAGTAAAAACACCTTCCAATACAAATTCTATATCTTTATAAAGAATAATATAATATATTCTTTTTATCACATGACAGGTGGCCATGACGCTATGCCTTGGTATCTGAAGGTCATTTGGGTTTTGTATAACATCGCCAACTCCCTCGCCGTAATCATCACACTGATGTATTGGATGTTGATCGGTGATTGTAAGTAGACCAAATGGATAAATAAATTTTCTTTCGACTGATAACTTAAAAATGTAATTTCTTTTAAACTTGTTTGACAAATATCTATATGTTTTGAGATCTGTCATGTATAGGATTAATTTGAGATAAATTGTAGATATGATAACTATGATATTTTTATTTACAGCTGTCAATTCGCAAAGTATCAGTAAGCATGCTCTAAACATCCTGTGTGCTATCTTCAACATCTGGTTCACGGCTACCCCTATCCGTGTGTGGCACTTTTATCAGCCTGTCATCGTCTGTTTCATCTATCTCGTCTTCTCTATCATTTACCAAAAATCTGGAGGAGGTCTCATCTACGACATGTTAGACTGGGATAAGCCAGGACCTACTGTTGCATTCACAATTCCAGTTTTAGTTATAGCCGTTCCTGTAGCGCACTTATGCTTTTTTGGAATATATAAGACAAGAGTAATATTAGCTAAACAATGGTGTACTGGCATCATGTCGACGGTACAACCAGTTGAAGAAGAAGTAGAAAGTACAAAGAAAGAGGAAAAAGACTCTCCTAAAGAGGATGTACCGAAATTAGTGACAGTGGACGACCTAACTAAAGACAGTCAGACGTTCAGTATACATTTAACACCAGGAACAACACAAAGATCGATCAATGTGTCAATGACTCCTTCCCCAACGCTTGGGTTTGTAAACAATCAGCCAGAACTGGAACCATAGACTTCACAGTATGGTAGAATAGATAAATATATATTTGCTTCATTTTTTGTACAAACATTATTTGTTAAATGTTTTTAAAATACTGTTTGTTTACAAGTATCTTGTAATAATGAATGTGTTTTATATTTGTTGAATAAAGCGAAATGTTGGCTATGATTGCATTTGGCGTATGTTTTTCCTCTAATAATCTAAATTTATAATGATCTATCTGTGTTACGAACAAACGTTTAATCAAATCTATAGTGACCCTGATTGTTCTTCGTCATGTCAGAGCTTTAGAGACTTTGATGACTACATCAAGATTTCACGACTGAAATTACTTTACGTAAAATATTTATTTGATACATACATACATACATACATACATACATACATACATACATACATACGTATATACATAAATACATACATACACACACACACCATCACACACACACACACACACACACACACACACACACACACATACATACATTAACTCACAAGAAATAATCAAAACGAAGATTTGAAAACAACTTCCGGAAACAAGTTTATAAGTACATTTGTAACTCGCACCTTTTTATCTGATGAATTGTTTTCTTGTAAATCTTTCTTTTGTTCATTATTGGCTCCAGCCTTATTGAATTCGAGTTAGGATTATAATTATGTTCTTTTGTTGGTAATTTCATGTCGTTATCAAAGCGCATCATTGCCCTGTTTTATAACGTCAACTTCTGTAGATATAATGTTATTTGAAAACTGGAAAATATTTCGTCGTGTAGACATTTGTTTCAATGTTCAAATGAGTGGCCAAAACGGAGGAACAAACATTTTCGATGCAAGACATTTTTTGTAAATATAGAAATTTAAAACTTTTATCAAAATTTCCGCAAAGATGACTTGCACTTGGTTTGTTTAAATCGGGTGTACTTGTATATCAGTCTCATAAAAACGTACTCTTATCCAGACGGGTTAACATATAGGTCAAGTGACCTTGTTATAAAACATAGTCCAGTGACCTGTTAAAAGAATGAACTCTGTATAATCACCAGCATCAAACCCGCATTCAGGTTTGATCAAGCATTAACGACGATGAGGTTTACTTTGCGGTTTTAAATAATAATGAGAGGGCTTACGTTGTAATAAGTATGCCGCATAGCTGGTACCAAATAATACACTACAGAAGGATACAAAGTCGTGCGTTATTGATATTTCGATTTTTTTACCACCTTTGGCGTTTTTATCAGTATGGGCTAGTGTGTTTCCGATCAATTTAGTTTTACCCCAGTCGCGTCCTAGGCTTCAAAATTAATACCCTTAACATCACTGACGAGTCCTGGAAGGACGAAAAACAGCAGAAGATGCTGATTATTTCAAAACATCAATTTGTTTTAATTTAATTTCATCGAGTTCAATTTTACGAGTTTTCGTATACGTCTCTCCTTATTAATTTTATGACAGGTGTGATTAAGATATGGTGTTGACAATAAATTAAAAAGAAACGTAAACAGCCAATTCAAAGACGCTGACCTAGAAAACACAAATTTAGATTGATCAACACACACATGTTAGGATGTTCATCAATTTACATCTTCTAAAACCATGTGTTGTAGAGAGTCAGTAGTCAACATCCATCGACTTTTATCAATCAAAAGAATATGTTTATTTGCAAGGTTCTTACATGATGGTGTGTTGTCAATGGAGCAGAAGACAAATATTCTTCAGGAACACCTGGTCTTATTATCCTCGCACTTAAGACGAAAATCAACAGATTTATATAAGTAGACATTACAGTGGAACAGGTAATCTAATATATTAGAACTTTTTCAGAATGCACTTTCATTTAGTCTCACTAGTTTTACCAAAACAACAATAATACCTTTACCAATACACCATTAAAGCCGAAAAGTGACTCGTTTCATCCTTTGTGTAATTTTAGGACCATAAACAAGATGTTTTTCTTTTCCATTTCGTCAGATAGACTCTATCTCAGGCGGTTTATCAATGAATACCTTATTGCTAAATGATTCTTTACCATTGAATTCAGCGCTATCTGTTTTGAAAGTGTCTTTAAAAATCCATTATGTCATTAAACGTAATAAACACCTCAAATTTTCAAGATAATGTAGGAAAAATAGCTATGAGATAACTATTCTATTATTATCATGTCATAAATCATGAATTATACAAACAGCCACTGTGTAAGAGTGATCGTTTAAATTTGAGCAATTTACAAAAGTGAGTTCCGCATCATCGATAAAAGGAATATTCCACACTTTCTTACCGTTTCTAATTAAGTTATGTACATATTTCTAAGTAATCAAGTAATTATTGTGAAACAGACCGAAGAAAATGTACATGTCCTTTTCGAATACATGTATTTGAAATTCGGTAAAAAGTTGCCGAATACGTGATAGTTATAATTAATTTTACAAATGTTGTATATTAAAAATTACGATTTTTATATATACAAAATCCGAAGTTTAATATTAAATGTATGATACGATATATATAAGTTTGGTTACTCGGGAACAATATATAGAGCAGTGTTTAGATGAAATTCAACGTTAAAGATAAACAGAATGGCTATCATAACTTCGTCAACATTGAGAATCAATTTAAGTACATGTCTCTGTGCCATCTCGGGATATATTCACAAACCAGATATATGAACAAAGGGTGATAAATATGTAGAATTTTGAGGACACGAGATCATTTATCCGATTTCAGAACGAGGCATGAGTACACACATATAAATATTATATATTTATGGATTATATAAGATAACGGATTATATAAGGTAACGGATTATATAAGGTAACGGATTATATAAGATCTACCCTGTCAACACGAAAGTAAGACAAACGGAAGGACAGACGGACGGAGTACAATTGTATATTCCTCTGAAACGGGGGTATGGGTGAATGGTGATGTTAAAGGGACTATGAACACATCAATACAAACGAATTTGACGTAACTACCATACTAATCAATGTAGCTAAATCAACTAAAAACATGTAAATAAAAGACAACATTTTTTCATCATTCATGTCCTTAATCCTAAAATCGCCAGTGAACTTTTATCGTTAAACCATATCCCGACAACACCTGAGCATTGAATGAGTGGACTGCTTGATAAAGGCATTCATAAGGACGCACACATTGACAGTTAGTTATAGTGTATTATATAAACTAGTGTAGTGTTTGATATACACCAAAAAGACTATCATAGGCATACCTCTGTTATTGTTAAACATTAATAGACATAATAAACACCATAAAACCAGACACGCGTGGACATTAACATTAACAAACTCGTTTGTATTTCATTCATATCGCAAAAGGTAAAAATATTATATACAAAGTTAATGAACATTCACAGTGAATGGGTTGTATTTTTTTTAATGTTGAAACGTAAGTAACTATAATAACTAGACGATCTAACTAAATGTTGTGTCGTTATTGTACACGTAAGTACATATATGTATATATATATATCTGTGTAATCTGATATAGTGTTGCTCACCTGTGTAGGTCTGACGGTTAATATAAGTCTACATATCCTGAAATAATTTGCAATGTCATTCAAAACATATTAGATATATCATAAAAAGTAGCCATATCCTTTTCGAGAAAAGAGAAATGTCTCGAGATATACCTAGGTCAAAATGAAATTCAGTTTGTTAAAGAAACGCGATACTTGGGTATGATGTTTGACAGAAAATTAACTTCACATTAAACATAAACAAAAAGTACGCTACAAAAACACATTTAACACATTAGCATATGTCTCCGGAAATAAATTAGGCACAAACAAACTTACTCTATTAACCCTGGGTAAAGTGCTTCTTGGATCAATAATAGACTATAGCTGTCAAGTTTGGATTATCTATAATTGACGAGAAAAGTGTATTTATTTTGGAGAAAACAACAAGCGAAATTATAACAATAGAATTTGCACTTAGACTTATTAACATCAAAAAGTCCACAAACAGAGCAGTAATTCTCACAGATATAGACAGATTAAACAACAGAAGGGAAATTACAGATCAACCAAATATAAAACCATAGGACGTAATTAATTAGAAGATATAAGATCAAGGAACATTGAATTAAAAAGTATTATCAGTATATTGGCTAAAATATGTCACCAGACCGTACATTTTGTAATTCAGAAGAGACCACAGCTCATATTTTCTATATTGCAATAGATTACACCAGAAGGAAAAAATCTTGTATCCGAAAAAGAATGAAAATCCAATAAATATCCGCCAGCCAGGTTTTAACATCAAATGCAAGACTAGTGATTTGTTTTTACTATTCGTCAACAGCTGAATTACAACGAATCAAGAAATTATTTTTAGTAAATGAATTTCAACAAACTACATATCAATTGAGTATTCACCAAAATAAATTAAACAGAAGATTTTCTTTTCATCATGGGCGGATATAATATAGTTTTGTATCAGCTCTCTCGGAGCCTATTGTGAAAGTTCGACTAGTTGTATCGGTTTAACGGTAATGACAATAACATAGAATAAGGTATTTCTCGTACATGATAATCATAGTAATGGCTTTGTATGCTATATATTCATGCATTGTACAGCACTTTCCTAGCTTGTCAACGCCTTGTTACCAGTACCTACTACACACCTATACCGCGAACGTTAATGTTGATATCACAGTGGGTACTTACAACATTATGAAAACAATGTTGATATGATGTTCATATATAATCATCTATTGGTATAAGTATGGCTTTGGACATATTACAGCAGGTAAACTCAAAGTGTTGTTTGTTTATATTAATAAAATTCAGCATTTTTTATGTATTTAATAATTTACAAAATACTTCATTTAGTGAGTAAGTTGCATATTCTATGAAATGTTTACTTTTCAATACATTTCGTTAATGCTAAAAATCAGCTTGTAATGTTGTGTAAGATTGCTTCTCTTTTTTTCATTTTGTTTGTTTGTTTTGTTTTAATAGATTTTCAGCCTGTCACAACTACTGGCATAAT